AGCTGATGCAATAGGTAAAGACATGGCTACTTGAAGAAGTTTGTATAAGCTAGGGAATACACTTTTAGTTAATACATTTTTTATGGTTTCATATTCATAGTTGATTTCATTATCCTTAGTTCCTAATTGTAATAAACTGTTCTTCGCCACTATCATTTCTGATTGAATATTTAGTTTTGATAAATTCAATAAACCCTAAAATCAGTTTTGTAATATAATAATATGTAATATCACTTAAACATAGGATGTCAAAAAAATATTAACTTACTTGATAATGATCAATGAAAAACAAACTTCCTTCATAATTCAATTTAAAAAAATTATCAACAGATTCACCCATGGCTAAACTCTCTGTTGAAAATCTTTCCTTCAGCCTTGTCACTATAGTATCTAACAGAACATAATATGCATTGTTTCTGTAAAATGACTCAGTTGACTGACTATCATCATTCAGAGGTGCAGTGTACTGTGCACTTGTACTTGCAGTAACTATGAAATTATCAAGTCTTTTTGATTCTATCTTTCTTCTTTTTTCTCCTAAATTGTAAATATATTATATTAATAACTTAAGTACTTTATAAATAATTTAGTAAAGTAATTATTTACAAAATTATACCTTGAAATGGATTACCAATAACAATATTATTATCAGTAGAAAATGCATTTATTTCGAACCAAATTTGAGCAAAACTTTCAACTGTTCTAGAATCTTCAAAACTTTTGATTACAGCTTTAATAATTTTTACTGAGTTGCCAAGAGTCGCAGATTTCTCTTGAAATTGATTTATTAAAATATTTAAGATTGTTAAACATTTGCGTAAAAGAAATAAATTAACAATGAAATTTCCTTTTTTCAAATTAGTTAGTATTCCTACAAAATTATAAGAATTATACATAAATAATTTACAAATTATAAGTGCAATTACAAAATGCATTTACCTAATGCTTCATTTGAGTCCTTATCTGATTCGTTTTCAATTTCATTGGTTAATATTTTTAATATACCTTTGTAATTAATAATCACAGCTTCACAATTCCTGTAACGGCAATTCCATCTTGTGTCACTTAATTTTGTTATTGATTTTTTCTTAATACCCAGCTTATTTTGAATTTCAATTAACTTTTGGTTATTGGTTGGATTGGAAAAATGTATATAAAGTGCTTCCAATGTATTAAAAACACATCTAGTATCCTTAAAATTAATAGACTATATTTAACCTGATTTAATAATACTAAGTTGTAAAATACTGAATAAAAATTAATTACCTTCACAATTTTGCACATATCTAATACCACGAGATTAATTCGATGTGCCATGCAGTGCGTGTATATTGCAAATGGGTATTTTGATTTAATTTTTGCCTGTACACCATTAAAACGCCCAGACATTACACTGGCCCCGTCATAGAACTGTGCTACAATTGCTACCTGGGGACTTAACTTGCATTGTTTAAGATATTCTAACATGAGTTGACTTGAGTTATTAGTACCTAGGTACTTAGTAGGTACACTATAATAATATAGTATAGTCGTTACTTATTAGCCAGTAATCAGTATAGGTAACTAAATATTCCGTGATATTGCGGTGAATAAGACGTGAAGTATTCGGATCATCGCCTATTTATCAAAAAATAGTTAAATAATATAATTTTAATTTGCAAATATACATTGTGCCCCTGAAGTCCCGTATCACCCTTATTATATCCCTGGAAGATCAATATATTTAAATGCAGTTTTTTTACAGTCATAAATATGGAAAGTCTGATTGAATAACATAATTTTAGGTTTTTTTAAAAAAAATTCAAAAATAATCAAAAATTTTTTTAGGAAAATTAGTTTTTTAAATTTTCAAGATAGCCATTTAGTTGATCGTATTTTTTAAAACAGTTAAAAAAAAAAATATTAAAATTTAATGAAAATCACCCAAGTTAGAGTTAATTATTATTTTTAATTTTAGTCGTAAAATCGGGGTGATTGTAATAATTAACATATGAACCGTATGAGTAGGTCACACAACTATTATTCTTAGAAATTCAAAATAATAATTACCTCTAACTTGAGCAAGTTTCAATAAATTTTAGTATTTTTTTTTTTTTTTTTTGAACTGTTTTAAAAAATACGATAAACCAAATGGGTATCTTGGATATTTAAAAAATTAATTTGCCTCCACAAAATTTTTGATAATCTTTGAATTTTTAAAAAAAAAAATCGAATATTATGTTATTCAATCAGAATTTCCATACTTATTACTGTAAAAAAAAAATGCTTTAAATATATTGATTTTCCGCTGAGATACTAAGTGTGATACGGGACTTCTAGGAGACTTCTAGGACAGACTGTATAGTGACTATTATAATACTTATTTTAAATACATTTTGAATAGGTATGGGTGGGAAACTATTGTGATAATTATAGTAATTAATGTTTTAAATAGTTTTTTAATATTCAGGGGAAAATGTCCTACTACACCGAAAATAGCCGGGGGGAAATTGTCCGGGGGGTTGGGGAATATCCTCTATTCAAATGTACTACAAACATAAGTGTATAATAATTAATAAGATTTAGATAGGTACCTATATAATTTATGTTATCGTTTCAATGTGGCGTACCTATAGGTACGGTATATTATTATAGTAGGTACTCGTACTAGGTGTATAAAATAAATTTCCATAGTTTCTATAATGTATCTTATAGGTTTTTTCGCAAACCTTTTATTTTACAGTTATCAATTATTAAATACTTATACATAACATACTTATAATACTTATACACAACAACAAAAACGGGTGAACATAAGTGAATGTCGCTCTGCTGTACAGTAGGTTCCCCCCAAGCTGTATTTAAATACAATTGTATACTGTTAAAAAATAAATTAAAAAAAAATAACCATCGACATTTTCTGAAAATTATGGTTGCCTCCCCCCTCCTTTAACCATGTCACTGGAGCCTTGCCTGTACACTACACAAACTAAGGGGGTGAACCACCTCAACCGCCCCAAATACGACATACTGGAACTATGGATATAACGATTTATCAATGTACTACTACACAATTAGTCTTTTAATTTAAAAAATCAAAAACTGTGGTCTTACACATATTACCTACTTGAATAATTAATTGGATAATGTTCTTAAACTAATGCTTTTACTCAAATTCAAAAAAATATATTATAGGTAGGTACCGTAAAACCGGGTGAATAGAAACACTATTCAACTTCAAAAACTTTTAACTTTGGAATGGAAATAACAAAACAGCATATTAATACCTTAAAATATGGGTCTTTAAATTTTAAACACCCAAATTATAATCATTAAAATTAAAAAAAAACTAAATTTCAAAATTGATTTTATATTTGTTATTAAGTATTATTTTTCTATTCATACTCATGTATGGGTGAATAGAAACAAATATATAAATTTAATATGATTTGTTATTCACCCTGTTTTAAAAAATACAATATCATTTCTCTACAAATTATATATTTTTTTTTTTTACATAATTTAATACAACAAAATGAATTCTTGAATATACGTCAATAATGGAGGAACAATAAAATAACAATCCTTAGTTATTTGAAAACTACACTACTTGACAATCGATAATATAAATTAAAAATATTGATAATATGAAAAACTCGATCGTGGGGACATCGAGCAAAACACTGATTTTGTTTCTATTCACCCGGTCTTACGGTATGTACTTATATAATACAATAAAATGAAATATCTTAAAATATTGTACAGTAATTAAAATATGTTATAAATTATAATAAACAAATTGGTTAGGTTACAACTGTTACAAGAACACAAGATAATGAGAATAAATAATGATTAATGACAGTTGACTGCCCTCGTTAAATTGTGTTTTTTAAATTAGCCCATACCAATCCATTCACGTATGAAATAGAAATTGTCATTCTCTGTATCTCATTGAATAATCAATGGATCGATACAATTTCAGGATTGAATATCATACAACAACAAATATTAAATAATAATATGAAAAAAAAACCATTTTTCAAAAAAATTGATTTAGAACCTTTTCATTCTGATATTAGGTAGTTGTAGTCGTCGTCTGCGCCTGCGGACAGTTTACGAAACACACCCGTATATTTCCATGGGTAATTCACTAATTTCATGGTATTAGTAAAGTTATGGAAGTTCAAAGTTGCAATGATTACGCGCGTATCGGAACTCCTCCTCGGGGCCGTCACTCCGCTCCGCAAATCGAAAACATCCCCCGACTTGCTATGCAACTCCACCTCAAGTTGGTCACAGGAGTGGATATATGGTGGGTAAAGGTCAAAACAATGTTAGGGTCGTTAGGAACCAATCTCGAAACAATGTTTCTAAATTCTAATCAGTGCCACTAATGAGCGTTTTGTCGGGACCAGTCGATTCCTGTCGCTGACCGACCGCAATAACTTTTTAGGCAACTACTTTAATTTTAAGCGTATAATCTATATATATGTTAGCGTTAATGTATGAAATTCCGTAATTCTATAGAATAACTATTTATTTTATAGAATTACGGGTACTTTCAGTTAATGTATTGAATGAATCCATAAATATATACTTCAACTACTTATTCTACATACCAACTAGATATTTTATAAACTAACAATAAGGGTTTAGTTAATGTATTTAAAACTATTGTCTATTATTGAATAAAAGTTTTAATCAAATAACAAGTTACAAACAAAATCAAATATTATAGTATTAAGTCAAACAAGCCTGACAATATTATATAAAAAAATTAATATTAATTTATTTCACATCAATTTATTAGAATAATTATTAAAATCTTAATCAATTTACAAATTAAAAAATCAAATGTTATAGTATAAGTCAAACACACCTTACATTATTATATAAAATATTAATATTAATTTTTTTTCATGTCAATGTATTTGTATAATTTTTTTTTTTTAAATTTACAATTTATTTATTAGTACAGGAACTTTTTGGGTGGCATTTAGAATTTCAAAGTAAATTATTTTTTAAACATATGCATCGTTTTGTGGTGCACTTTTGTTGGCATGTGCATTTAAAAAACCCTTGTCCATTACCAATTGATGGGATGCTTTCCGAAGGCAAATATCTACATCTGGAACGTCACTAAGCGTAATAAACTTTTCTGTGCATAAACTAAATTGTGACCT